GATTGTTCGCCGACTTTGTTACCTTTCCATAAAGTCCTGCTCACTGTTTCCAGTCTTTATGCTAAGTCAAGCTAACAAACATCTGGCTATAGCTTTGCACAGAATGGATATATAAGATCTTATTATTTAACTTTAGGCAAGAAATCAATATAAATGTAGCTTTCAGTTCTTGCATCAATTTCTGCAAAGCCCATCACCTAAATGCCACATGTTAGCATGCTGATGTTTTTTTGTTTTTTTGGTGGCTGTGGCTCAGGTGGTAGAACGGGTTGTCCTCCAATCCCAAGGTTCAATCCCCGGCCCCCCAAAGTGTCCTTGGGCAAGACACTGAACCCGATTGGCAGGCAGCACCTTGCATGGCAACTCTGTTGCCATTCGTGTATGAATGTGTGGATAAAAGCGCTATGTAAATGCAGACCATTTCAGACCATGCTCTACACTGAGCACGTTTGGCTAGCTGGTAAGTAACCAGTGGTAGCAGAGCAGATCTGAGTGAATGGGCCATAAGTTTGTACTTGTGACAAGGAAGACAATAGCCGATCTGAAGGACTGCACCATAATCGGGAGATAAAAGGGGTTTAAAGCCTCGCACATGAGCATCAGGTACGAACGAGCACGAGTAAACATCGCAGTGGAGGCAGTCGGTGACCAAAACCAGTAACATCACACATATGTCAAGCAAATGGGATATAGGTCCTTAATGGCCCTCACTTTGTCATGGAGAGTGCCGTTAATAGTGTGCTGACACAGGCAGGTAGCTCACAATGTGTGGGGTGGGAGTACGGTCTTTGACAGAGGATGAAATGGCAATAGAAAATTGCTGATTCCAGACAAGATCCGGTGCAGCCTGACAGCGCAGCAATAAAAAGACCTCAACTGACTCATGGCTTTGTCTGGAGGTCTCAAGGCTTCGCTGCACTTAGGAATTCCTCTCACAAAGCCAGACACTGCTGTCCAGGGAAAAATGTTCCACAGAAACAATTAGAGCCTGATATTGCGCTATTACTTTACACCGGACGCTGGAGAGTCCAAGTTGATGACAGAGGTTTCTCACTGACCACAGCCACAGACGGAGACCAAAGGAAAAATACACAGTACATCACATTTATTTACCAGTGGCGGTTTAAATTTAGTTGTTTGCTTATTTTTAGGTTGAGCTACATGAACAGATTAATGCTACTGTCATGTCTGTACGCTATACATGAAGCTAGAGCTAGCATGCGGTTAGCTTAGTGTAGTGTAAAGATTTTAACTACCTTTAAACCTACGTATTGACATTGTTGTCCATTTATTTTTTTATTCTTAATACACTGTGCTAATGAGTGAGCTTGTAGAGATGCCAGCTGGCTAGCCGTTTTCCTCTGCTACGGTAATTGCGTGCTGGCTGTAGCCTCTTACTTTACAGACAGATATGAGGGTGACATCTATCTCCTCATCTAACTACGGCCAATAAAGTGTCCCATTTCTTTCTCAGATTCTTAAACTAATCTTTGTAGGAGCTACAAGTCTTGAGGGTATATTTCATTTTACTGCAACATCACTGAAAGGCCAAAGATGTGAGGCACAAAAATGGCCAAATGAAGGCTGCTGAGAGACACGTGGTCAGGATGGTCAAGAGCTCTGAGAAGATTCTCAGTCATCCAGGTCATGGTTATTCTTGTGGTTTAATCGTAGCAACGGTCAAGAGTCAACCAAGAATTGCCAAAAGAAGGTCTGCAGTGAATCTGCTGGAACACAGCTGTCAGTGTGAAATCTGCTGGTGATTACACTGACAAAGGCCTTTTGGAGGAAAATTACGAGGTCAAATGAAACAAAAATTGAGCTATTTTCCTAAAATAACCAAAAGGTTAGGTCCTTAACCCCCGAGAACACCAAAACTTCTGCCAAGCATGGCGGTGGCAGTATTATTTCCTGGGCCTGTTTAGCTGCCAGTGCCACAAAATAAAGGATTACCTCCACATTCTTTAGGAAAACCTGGAATCATCAGTCAGAGGGTTGGGCCGTAGATGCAGTCGGGTGTTCTAACAAGACAGTGAACCAAAACAAACATCAAACGTGGTAAAGAAACGACTGAATCAGGCTAGACTTAAGAGCTTAGACGGGTCGACCTAAAGTCCTGACTGAAGCCGAATTAAGAACCTTTAGACGGTGATGAAGAAACAAGTCAGAAAGACAACAAATATAACGGTACTGTAGCAGTTCTGTCCATACAAGTGGTCAGATATACAACCAGAAGTAAGTAGTTGAGATGAAAATGGCCCTGAAATGAAATATTAGCATGACTGTGTGTATATTTTTGACCCATATTTCTAGAGAACCTTTAATATATCTGTGAGGGAACCAAAATGCATTTCATCAACCCATTGACAGGTTAATTGAATATAGTTGCAGCTTTAATACCATTTAACCTCAGTTTCCTCTAACTATAATGCGCTTATTTGTTAAAATTGTATTGGTCCTGACTGGTCTTGAGTCTTTCCTTTCACAGTCTTCACCCCCCAAAATAACAAAACCGCAGAGAGCCCGAGATGAAGAATTAATTTGCCAGCTCCCTTTGGTTTGCTGGCACATGTTTGTATGTGTGTGTTCGTCCCACCGGGGCTCCATCTAGGGTGGATGCTGTTACAAATGATCCTGTGGGAGCCTCGCTGACAGCCAAGTTCTGCATGGCTCCACACGCCTCATCGCCACGCACACAGCGAGCGGAGCATGTTGGTCCCAGGGAAAACTCCCACTGCATATCCTGTCAGCTCAGAGAAAGTGTCAATCAGCGTGTCCAAGTCAGCTAAAGGGATGTGTCGACGCCAGCAAATACTAGCTGCCCTTGTCCTTCGCCACTTCTGACAGCGAATGACACCGTTGTTGCCAGGACAATTCTTTCATTCCAGTTTTTAAAGTTTTATCGATCAATGGAGGGGATTTTGCTGAGCATGTGTACCGTTCCTCTGCGGCTGCTCACCTGGGAACAGCCCGGTACAAACACACTCAGTCTTTTATTCTAGACATTGCTCAGAGGTTAGCGAAGGCGACGCTCGATAGAATTAAAAGAGTTCTAGGAAGTGAAGTGAAAGTGCAATTAGTGCACTTTTGCTGCCTTTTATTTCACACGGGGGCTCACCTGTCTGCTGAAGTCGTGCACCAGACTTTGAATGCAGTGGATGCTGATGGACATTGTATTGAACGTTGATCAACTGATGCAAAGCAGAAACAAAACACTGTTATAATCCCCAAAGTAGGCCGTTTACTGTTTGAGAACATGAGTTAAATCATAAACCTGTTTAGACGTGTTTAGCAGCTACAAACAGGGAAAGTTATTTACACCACAGCAGGCAATTCGGCATCATGAAAACTTTAAAAACGGTTTTAAAAAGTTGAGTCAGAAGTGAAAACGAGCATGCTGCTTACAGTCAAGGGCTCCAAAAATGCAGAGCGATGCTGCAGCCGTTCTCAAACCCTTGCTTCTGTTGACTGGTGATTTGCTGCCATCTTGTGGTGATACATGAAAACAACACGGCCTGTGACTATAATCATCAGCGCTGTATGATCAGCACTGGATTAGGGATGCAAAGTATGAGGGGTGTATGGATGGGAAATGGAATGGCAAGAAACAGCGGTCTCATTTTTAGAAATACACGTTGACTTTAGAATCCTTAAAAGTTGTCCGTGACAGTTTCAGAGCCACTGGATGTCACCAGTATCAGTAACAGGCAGTTTGTTTATAGGAGAGCCAACAATAAACAGCGGAAAAAAGCTCACACTACTATTGCTACAAACATTGAATGACCACAGCAAAGAGCAGATGAGGTAAAGATAAATGTAAACACTTGTGTTGTAGGGCACCACTTCTGCGCTGGACTGCACTTTTGCTTTTCCAGTGCAGCGTGAGACGTCACTCTTGGTCTGTTTATAAGTATGAGGACAACAGTTTCAAAGGGAGGGACTCACATGCTCCAACATGCACGCTTGGTTGTTGTTTGCTGTTAAGTTAATGTTAAATATATGTTTCAAGTCTTGCATATTGCACCTTAATTCGAGGATATTTTGTTCCCACATTCAGTGATGTATGAGAAGATTATGCTGCAGGAAGTTTTTCATTTATTATTTCTTAACTTATTGTAAAGAAACAGAACGTCCAATGTGTTGTGAGTATGCGCAGCAGAAATGCAAATATCACAGATGAAAGGATTTCATACGTAACAAACCGAAGTAACGAGACTCGTCAGTGCACAGGGACGGACTCTTCCTGGATTCTTTTTTTTTTTTTTCAGGATCATCTTCAGGTTTACGGCTTAATTACTCCAATATGACAACGTGCCAGTGTGTTGTGTAGAGTAGTTTTACGGTGTTTGAGCAGGATTGTGGGTGAGCTGGTGTGCTGAGCTGCAGCGACTTTATAGATCTGTTGTAGAGTTACATTAAATCCATTTTAAATGTGCAGTAAAGTCACATTTATTTATAAAATGCATTTAAAACAATGAGAGTTGAACCAAAGTGCTGTACAACTGAAATAGCATAATAGATAAAAGACAAATCTGAATTGAAGACCATATAATAATGAGGAAACATAGACAATAACATAGTAGGAATAAAAAGACAAATAAACACTAGTGTACAGTGCAGAGCTCTAACCAGGGTGTGATAATACAAGAGTCCTGCTGAGGCATTAGGTATTATTTTCCTTCTAAATATTATATTAAACGTACAAAGAGATTAATTTTTAGGGGTTTAAGACTGAAGAGTGACTTTGGGATGATATGGGAGCAATACTGAGACAAAGAAAGAAAAATAAAGACTTTTAAATACAGTCAAAATAAAAGATAAATAAAGCAAATGTTCAGGATTAACTGATTAAAAAGCATAGAAGAGAAATGGGGAGTCTGGAACACCAACACCAGCCGCACAGCAGGGGGCGCTGATGCATCAACACTGGACTCCAACCGCCTGAAATCCACCATCAAGAAGAAGCGTGACGGAAAAGCGCAGCAGTTTTTGTCCCTCGCTGCTTCCCGTCGTTGTTTTGCGAAGGCAGGATTTCAGCGGACGTGCGAGGTGACAGGTAGGAACAACGTGTTCTTTTCATTATAATTTCCCACTGACAGAGTTCTATTTTCACCTTTCATAATGAATATTAGGCCGTTTTTGGGTCGTCCTGTGCGGTGTTTTGTCAGGTGACAGCGGAACACGGAGGGTTTGAACACTGGGTGAAAAGGGAAAGTGTCAAAGCTGCGGGTCAGCTGACCGACTTTATCAGCTAAAGCTAGCTGTTTGTTAGCTAGCTAGCTGTTTGTTTGTGACGAACGTGTTGCTTTTTATGACGATTTCTGTCTGATAAAAGTTCACCCTGAGAATAAATATGTGGTAGCGACGGTCTCTGCTGCTTTTACTGCCGCTTGTTCAGATCCGTGCAATCATTGCATCATGTCAGCCGTGTGCTGTGGTCTGTAACTCTGCTGAGCAAACTGAACACAGCACATTAGTTCAGAGGCTGTTTGGGATGAATACTAAGTGTTTTATTGTCGTTTTGTCCAACAGATTACAAGTCTAGAGGTGAAAGAGACGAGCCACAATGTCCAGCAGTGTAAGTGACATAACATCAACTTTGCCTTACATAACTGTCATGCAATGTTAATGAGCAGAAAGCTGCACCAGAGTCCATATAAACAAATGGTCATTATAAGAGGAAATTACTTATCATGAAGGTACACACAGAATACTAAATTATTTATTAACGTTCAGCCTATTGCTTTGTTTCAACTTGTACAATGGGCAGTTCTTCACATTTTAATCCTGCTTACAGTTTAAATTTGTTTTGATTAACCTCAAAAATGCTAAAATAATTCGACGATTCCACAATAATTTAACGATTAAAAATCGACAAACCCATGTCACAAAATTTGGATGTTTAACAACGACTTTCAAACTAGCAGCTTATTAAAAAACTGAGATTAATTCTGTGAACATCAAGCAAGTCCTGATCATCTTTGCTCATGTCACATTTTTCCTCAATGTGGTCTCGTTTTTAGTTTTTTTATTTTATTGCTTTATAAAGTCCTGAACCTCAGTGGAAACAGCACAACCATGGCCCTGAACTATAGAGAACTCAAAAATGCATTCTGTGGAGTATGGCACAGTTTTGATGCCATAAATAATAAAATAAAGAAAAGAAAGTTAATTTTTCTTTAATTACTTATATCACAGATAAAAAAGAAATGGAAGTAACATGTATGATATTTTCCCAAATCCCCACAGGTGTTGCCAGTACAGACAAAACATATGACTCTACGTACTGTAGATATTTTACTAGATATTAAGCTACATTTATTTTTAATTTGCTTCTCCTCCTACCACTTATGTGTGAGCACAGCCTGGAGTCCAGCTGAGTTTCTGTCATGTTGCTGTTGGTCACAGCTGAGTCACTCATGGCTTCTTGGTTGTGTTTGTTTTTTATAGGGTCTGGTGAATTCCAACAGATGTTTTTTGACAAATACCTGTATAATATAAATACTTTATTATCTTTAAAGATGAACGGCACGTCACTGATTTATTTTCTATTTTTAAAGTTTTGTGTGTGTAAATTGTGTTTCATGAATTTTTTTTTTGCTGCTGTTGGGTTTTGGGATTCAGGGGGTTAATAGCTGACTAGAGATCTGTTATCTTGTTATGATAACATACAGCAAAAGTATGCGGCTGCAGATGTTCCTGTTTCACGTGTCTTGTTGAAAACATCGCTGGCCATTAACAGGAGGTGTTGTCCCTCTGTAGGTGCTGTGTGGTCGAAGCAGATATGTCCTATCTAAGGCTGCTGGCCATCAAGCTTTGACTTCTCTCAGGGTTGGCAGAACCAGAACCTTCTCTGCTGCAAGCTCAGATGAACCTTATATTGCTGTTTCACACACAGACTCAGGTGAGTCCAGTACTAACAGAACCAATCACCTGTTCAAGTTGGTGAGCTCATGACTCACATTTCATTGAGTTGTTTCTTTGTACTCACGTCTTTCTCTTAAATTGCACTTTCAGAGAACATGTAGAGGCAAAATGATGAGTCAAACATGGCACATACCGACAGTATTCTTTGTCTTTTGCCTGCAGGTCCAAGAACTGTGTGGCCTGACGAGAGCATGGGACCATTCGGACCTCAGGACCAGCGCTTCCAGCTACCGGGTAACGTTGGGTTTGACTGCCACCTGGAAGGCATGGAGGACCAAAAGAGTGTTCCGGTCCACAGGACGGTACCTGATGTACTGACGGCTACGAGCAGCGCCGAGCGGCAACAGTTCATACTGGCCCAGTTCGTCAATGAGTTCCACGTACGTTTTAGAATAGTCACACATGACTGGTTGCACAATTATTGACTAGAGTAATGGTATAGAAAGTTCCGTTGGGTTCGCCACCTTACCGTGGTGGGGCAGTTTGCGTGTTCCATTGACCTCTAGAGCTATGTTGGGTGGAGTCCTGGTACTCCTGGTCGGGTCACTCATGCCAAACAGGTTGAAAGGTTGGGACTAAGAGTGATCCCCTGGTCCTCCAGGTTGGGGGTTGGCGTTAAGCCGTAAAATCTTTGCTCCAACAAAGTCATGGAAGTACGTAGTTTAGAGAGTGGGACTCCTGGAAATAGAGGTGTCACTGGTGGTGGGGTGGGTGTCGACATCAAGCGACCATATACCTGTAACTTGGTGCTGCTGCCGTCTGGGCCAGGCCTCCCTTGGAAAACAGATCTTGCAATCTCAGTGGGACTCACCTGGTTCAATAAAGGTGAAATAAATAGAATAAAAATTACGTAGGAAGTTATTAATGGCAGTTTATTGATTTAACAGCCACTAACATCCCTAGTTAAAGCCAGCAGTACAAGTTAAGCACTGTTGTCTAAAATTAATGTTTGTTTATTTATCAGGGAAAACTGGGTCCGATATCCACGAGAGTCCACAAAGCGGAGCAGTACTTCACCCAGACGGCCACAGACTGCTCCATCAGCTCCTGCCCTGAGCTGTTGAGGAAAGGTAAGAGAAGCTCATCCTGAAGTTAAAGAGAACTGCATCACCTGTTTTTTTCCCTGTAATAATTAACGTTTGCGGGTCAGATCTGGAGCTGCTGTTCCCCACGGCGCCGACCGCCTCCATCACCGTGGTGACGGTCACACAGAGCAGCAGCAGCAGCCGGTTTGAGGACGAGGCTGCAGAGCAGGACAAAGACCAGCTGCTTCACAAAGTGAGTCCACTCAACCTTTATTTTGGAAGCTTGAAAATGTTGAAGCAGTTGCTGAGTGAAATTTCTTCTAACTGCAGTTTGTGAGCGGCGCAAAGGAGATGTGCTTCGCTCTGTGGACGGCAGGATACTGGGCCGACTTCATCGACCCGGCGACGGGAGCAGCTGTGAGTTCTTCTGTTTAGTCGTGATCTCCTGAGCTAGGCGTGTGGTAACTGTGAAAACCAGGGACTTTAGGTGTTTCAGCACTGTGGCTTTATGGTCACGAAGCACAGATAAGGTTGAGAAACGTGCTGTTATCACTGTTTACTGGGAATTCTCTCTGTTACTTAATCCTGCAGGTGCTTTTTACAGTAAGTGAGAACAGATTTTTGGCAGGACGTTCTGGAAACACGATGAGTTTTTAGCACTTCCTGGAAATGTTTCACGTAGAAGTCAAAAGGCTGAAAGATATGTTCCAATGAGAGAGTTAGTTAAAGTTTACCAGGGGAACAGTCTGATTTAGAGGAATGTTAATATTCTGTTTATTTCTCTCAGAAGGCACACGTGTAATTCTCTTCACCTCTTCTCCCACAACAGTTCTTTGCGTCTCCGTCAAGTCAGACCTCGCTGCAATCAGACGAGCAGCTCAGACATCTGGGCTTTCACATCGAGGTGTCGGGCTCCTGCACAGTCATCAGCCACATCTTGAGGGGGACGCCTTTGTTTGTGGGGACCGTTTTCACCAACGCGCCTCCTCACAGCGCTGCTATCGCCAGACTACAAGGACTTTCCAATGCACTTGATGACGACGAATAGGCTTTTTAAATTATTATATCTATATATATACAATGAAATCCAAACAGAGGACCTCTGTTTCTGCTTTGAAGAAGGTTGGGAGTTGATCTGTGCTAGAGTTGTGTCAGTGGAGGGAGTGTGTGAAGTTTGTCTTACTGTAACACAAAGCAGCAACACTGAGCGCTGATCAGGACGTGACTGAGGAGACCTCGGCGCTGTCTGACAGAGGCTCTCCTCCTGCACTACATCCAGGAAGAAGCTCACTCGGTGAAGTGGCGATTTCGCAATGTGATGAATCTTTAGACATTTTTATTTTAGAAGGTGTTTTGTGTATTTATAAAAACGGAGACCGGCAGCTGGTGCTAGCTCGTGGGGAAAAAACATCCACATTCTAACCTTAAACGCCGCTGTAGCTGGAATGATACCAGGTCAGAAACTTTTCATACCAACGTGTACAGTATTTTTTCTTTTTCTTTCTCTAATCCGTTGCACAGAATGTGAAGAAACGATGAATACTGTTACTTTTGAAGCACTGCACTTCAAATAAAGTGACTTCTTTACAAAGTGTCAGCGTGTTCTCCTTCACAGAAACGTTAGCGCTGCTCTTCCTCCGTGGATAAGCGACTTACGAAGATTAAAACGCTGAAACTTTACATGCTTTCATAATGAGGAGCTTCCTCCACATGATAAAACACACGACATAGAAGTTTGTACGAGGAATAAACAACTGATCGTTTCTTATGGACACTGTGAGCAAAAATGTTTCAGGCTACAGGCCAACTTTAAAATATGCAAGATTTTAAATGTAAATATAGCATTAAAACAGCATCTAATGCAGCTGAGAATGAAGTTACGCTCCCTCTGTGTCTGCTGTCATCTAAACTTGTGTTCTGGTGGCCTGACTTCCTTCAGCTGGTGCTCCCCAAACACAAAGAATTCAGAAACAATATATTTATGTTGTTTATCTAATTTATATGTTCAGGTCGGTCTGATTCCTCAGTGTTTTCCTTCTCAACTTGGGTCTGTTCTGCTCCAGTCTGACCCGAGCAGAGGGGGGTGAAATGAAAATAGCACGACTCAAGTTGGCAGCTACTGACATCCATTCCTGGGGCGACACCAACGTCCGAAACCAAATTCCTTGTATGTTGTGTACGTACTGGGCCATTGAAACGGATTCTGATGTACTTTACAATGCTAGCATGGGCTAATGGTTGTGGCTGGATTCTTTTTTTTTGGTCTCGTCAGCACAAACTTCCTGGTTGTAAATGAACGTGTAAGGACCTGCTGCTGTGTTTGTTTTGATCTGAGGTGCTGGAGCTCTGCTGTCATCGGAAAGTTTTCACACGGAGCTCAAATGATCACAGTACTGTGCTGTTACATGCAGTTGGAAAAGAGCGCCACACTTTGACCCACGTTTGAAGATTTCCTAAAGTGGGCTGCAAGGTGGCTCGGTGGTTAGCGCCATTGCAACTAGAAGGTTGCCGGTTCGCGTCCCGGTGAGGACACCCGGGATCTTTCTGCGTGGAGTCTCCATGTTCTCCCCGTGCAGCGTGGGTTCTCTCCAGGTTCTTCCTCCCACACAGTCCAGAAACATGTTGAGGTTAATTGGTGATTCTAAATTGTCTGTACGTGTGAATGTGAGTGTGCTTGGTTGTCTGTCTCTAAGTGTAGCCCTGTGATAGACTGGTTACCTGTCCAGGTGAACCTGCCTTCACCCTGAGTCAGCTGGGATAGACTCCAGCCCCCCATGACCCTAGTGAGGATTAAGCGATGTATAGATAATAGATGGATGGACTTTTAAGCTGCAGTTTGTACACATTTTCATCATCTGTGAGGCCAAAACAGCACAGCTTATTTCTCAATGTTAACAAAATGAGCAGAACTCTGGAAGGTTGTTTGTCTCCATCTAGTGGCTGATCAGAGCTACTGAGTCCACCTTCACCTGGACTAATGTTGAAGCAAACGACGCCCTGTGTTCGCTCTGGTAGCTCGTCCAGTTTCATTTGCATTGTAGATGTAGAATCAAACACAGATCCTGAACCTTCCTCCTGTGGAACCTTCAAAGCAAATTCACTGTTACTGTTACGCTTATTACACGTCCTATTACTTGAAAAAATGATTTTCTGCACACTGTACATTTATTACATATATTATAAATTTAATAATAACAAAATCTCCCAAAAATAATATACATACTAGTGTGATTAAACTAAGACAATTAAAACATAAAGCATAAATAAATTAACAAAAAAACCATCTCAAATCATCACATTTTTTAGAACAAATTGTCCATTTCTGATTTGCCTGTAATTATTATAGCATAAAATATTTAGAAAATATACTGTGAAAGTTTAAATTGATATATCAAATCCCGAGATAATTATTTCTTTGCATTGAAATTTGAAGCTTAATGAAAATATCTCAGGAGCTGCATTATTAATTTTTAGGTTAATGTGCTCAAAGAGGGGCGTTTTCATGATGGTGTCAGTTTTTTTTTCACACTTCAACTCACCCGTGATCAGAGTTCATTTAACCTACTTGTACAAAATCGTAGATTCTGAATTAACTGCATGATGAGAAACAACAGTTCAGATTTCAGGCTTTTTTCTTCAATCGTTCCTGAGATTTTTTCATTTAAACTCAATTTCAATGTGCAAGAAAACAAGTAGAAAGATGGTTCACAGGCCAAAAAAATTAAATAAACTCTTGGAAAGTATTTCATACAAACAGATACCACTTGAAATATTCATATAGAATAAGTTTCAAGCGAATCAGAGATGGTGAAGCAGAAGATCTCTGATGATTTGAGATGTGATGGAGGAGAATCAGGTCTGCAGCCTGCTAAAACGGTTAATTACATGTCTGTGTCTGCAGCACGCTCCAGCTGCGTTAGACACAGAATGAAGAATCCTTTATCGTCCTTCTAGTTGTTTTTTAATGATCCTCTCACGCGCGTCCAGCTGTGAGGATGCAGATGATGATGCTGATGATGCATCCCAGCGCCGCGGGACGCAGCCTCCTGCCCGAGCTCACCAGAGGAGACGTGGAGGAGAAAACGGCGCTGCTCTCGTTCCTGGGCACGAGCACGTTGCAGATGTTCCCCTCGCAGCAGGATGAGCACACCTGACGCGACAGGCAGACGCTCAGGAGGAAGTAATCAGAACGAATGAATGAATCCGGAGCTCTCCACGTACCTGGTGGCCGTTTGCAGCGACGTCAGCGCAGCCGGTGAACAGGCAGTCCTCCAGGGCGGCGCAGCGCTTCGTCACGGACACGCTGTCGCCACGGTGATCCATCACGTGGACGGTGTAGCAGTACCTGGTATCTGGAGGACACAGCGTCTGAGAATGAGCAATGATCACTTCCATCATCTCACCACGCACACACATGAGAGAACGCTGCCGTACCCTGTGGACAGTAAACATCTGGAGCCCAGCGGTTGCACTCGTAGTTGTCTGCAGCGTCCTGACACGTGAAGCACTTGAAGCCACCGGGGTGAGGAGTAGCTGTGGACGCAAACACATTCACATTTAATGAACAACAGAAGCTCCCTGGGAAATGTGCTGCAAAGTAGAACAAGAAATCTACAAAATCACCAAAGCTGACTGTGATACAGAGAAAACATCTGTATGTCATAATATAATTCACCAAAAACTAGAGTAAAAGATAGAAGGAAAGAAAGAAGTCATACAAATAAAAGAGATTATTATTATTAGAAGCAATTCAACATTTAAAGACAAACCAAAGAGACTGAAAATGCTTTGCTGGGTAAATAATTGCCCCACCGAGTATAAATTATATATAAATTAAAGCAGATAAAACTTAACAGATGATTTTCATTTAGTGATGAGAGTCTTATCTCAAGTACAAATATCTTATGTGACCAAACTGGTGACTGAACTATGACAAAAATGTTCACAGGAATAAATCTTTTTTTTGTCCACGTTGTAGAAAAACACCGATTGAGGCGACGTTTCTATCAGTGTTGGTTTAAAGTCACGTTTTCTGCATGTGTCAGCAGAGACTCTGGAGCTCCTGGACGCTGTTTCTGACTTAAGTTATACGACCACTGATAGTGATGAGACTCATCACTGTGAGCTGTATGAGGAGGCTGGGCGACTCTTCCTATCTGCAAGCCCTGACAGACACAAGATCTTATTTATTATAAGGTTCTGACTGTGTTTTTTATCCTATTTCTGTCTTTTAATGGAGGCTCAGATGGTGTGGAATTTGCATGTTCTCCCCGTGCAGCGTGGGTTCTCTCCGGGTTCTCCGGCTTCCTCTCACAGTCCAGAAACATGCTGAGGCCAATTGGTGATTCTAAATTGTCTGTAGGTGTGAATGTGAGTGTGCTTGGTTGTCTGTCTCTAAGTGTAGCCCTGTGATAGACTGGTTACCTGTCCAGGTGAACCTGCCTTCACCCTGATCACCCTAGTGAGGATTAAGGTGTAGAGATGATGGATGGATGGATGTTGTGACCTCAGTGTGTTCTTTATTCTCCTGGTTGAATCTGCAATTTACAACTGTGCATACTTTTTTTTTTCTCTTCACGTGAAGTGAACCATCTGTACTGTCAAATCTACTCGAGTGACTTGAATTTACTCGAGTAGATTTGTCAGGAGATGCATTAATCATAAAGGAACACGTGAAATGTGACTTTATTCTGCAAATTATTCAATTATTTACCACATTGGAAGTTAAAAACAATAAATGAAGCAGCTCTGATCGGGTCCTAGCTGCTTGTTAATGTAAGTAACGGACTAATTTTTTTATAATATGTTTGTGTGATCTAACATTATTAAGTTGTTGTTTAGAGGGATAAAGCTGGAAGCAGCAACTTTGGATTACATGGTTCTCTTCAAAGTTTCATTTTTATGGACATTTTAGTAATAGGTGTGAAGTTGAGAGGAAAGAGAAAGGTGTGTTGTGATTTTTCTCTCTCATTTGCTCTCTGTGGAGTTTTTCTATATTAAAATGTGGGTTAACTCTTCCCTGAATCACCTCACACACATCAGAGCAGCTTGCATTGTACTCGTCTGTCTGTGAAAATCTGTGAAAGAGATTACTGCGGCCACTTTTACAGAAAAGCCAGCAGCTTCAGAAAGAATTCAGCCGCTGTCAGATTAGAGCAAAGTGCACGTCTGACACCAGCGGATCACCTCTGTGGCTTCTCCTTCAGACGTTTCCCCACCTCGTCCGAGTCACAACATATTATCGGAACGATAAGTCGGGATCTGAAACGAGTGTCTTTTCCCAGCGAGTGGAAGTGTTTACTCCGTCAGCTCCGCCTCCCAGCTGGTCGTCTGGATTCATGTGATTTCTGCTACATTCCTGCAGCTCATTTGAACCCGGAGGCCTCCAGCAGGTACAGCAGCGACTGTACACGGTTACTGGTGTCTGGAGCAGCTGCTGGTTTAACACTGTGGCGTGTTTTATTTTATGCTGAGTCATTAAACTAACCCAAGATCTGGGACAATGACACAGATATGTTCAGGTTTGTTTCCCAGACAGCATCCCTTCACAATCGTCTGCGGTTGTTTGGCTTTCCCATTGGCTGGGAAGCAGGCTGGGACAGCTACAGGTCTCAGGGTCAGCCGGTTCCAGCCGACACCGTGGCTCTCACACAAAAACACAACGCCGTTCCCACATCTTTTGTCTTGTGATCCTGCGGGAAGCTTTTATTTCAGGATTTGGTGGAAAAAAAATTGTCGTTTTGTTGGAGTTTTGAGCTGCTGCAGCGTCTCCAGACGGCTGCTAGAGGGCGATAGAGCAGACGAATGGACGGATTTGAGGAGGAGTAGAATTTTAAAACTGCATTAGGCTGGACTAAATTAACCCTCTGAAACCTAAAATCCATCAGGAGGTTTAAAAAAAGACGATTTATGACATTATAACGAGCCACAGAAGACATTTCTGAGTCGTCTATGCTTCTATTCGTGGTTGTGTTGTTTGCTTAGAGGTGCAGGAGTTTGTTGTTGTTTTTTCTCGTGTGGGCTAATTTCTTTTTTTTACCATAACTGCTCCTTGGAGTCCAGAGGGTTGATGTCAGCGTCTATAACAAGAGATTAAACATCCACGGTTGCATCTTTAACAAACTATAATTTAAAATGTGTTGAATTAACTTCTGTTGGTCTTTTTAATGCGCACATTTTGTCGGACATTGTTGCTTTAAACAGGCATTAGTTGTTCCTCGTACTTCTGTTTCGTGCATCCACACCGATGCCAACAATATTCTTAATTTTTGTATTTTTATTAAATTATTATGCACTTATTTGGTGTCACATCAGTCAAAGTGTACCCACATTCTCTCACAGAATCCTTGTATTAAGCTTAATATGCATTATAATATCGTAAATCCCTTTCCTGCTGTGTGACGGCTGTTAGCTTTGCTGCTTTACTTTTTGTTTCTGATAACAACAAAGAGTGGTCACTGTACAGTGGGGGAAGGGTTTGTGTGTCCCTGAAACCTTTATCTTTATCTTTATCTTGATCTTCAAAAAAAAAAAAATAACCAGAAACTGTGAAAACATCTAGAATTCTCTGCAGCCTTTGAACATGTGACGTGAGTCCCATCAGGACAAATATCACAGAAAGCTTAACCCTCTGACATCTTTTATCCTTTGGTTCAGTTTGACCCCAGCAATGTAAACCTCCAGAAAATTATCATAGCTGAAATCGTACCCAAGTTTATGTCCCGTTAAATAAAACTGAAGAAATTAAAACATTGAACGGAGTCAAATTGACCACAAAGGAGGGTTAAAAAAATTCTACGTCTGAAAATTCAACAAAAATCATCCAGTTGTGAAAATCCGGTGATAAAACCAAAACGTCTGCTCTCCACAGCACGACTGAGGAGCCGCGACCAGCAGTCACATGACAAAAATTCACATTTTTCAGGTTTAACTGCAGACAGAGGAAATTAGTGGATGGCTGAGATTAATGCAGCGTAGGTCAAAAACAAACAAACAAACAAAAAGCTGCCAGCAAGTTGTTGGAAGACACATTCAGCTTGCTGAAACGTCTTTGTAGATGTCTGTGAAGATTCTCAGTCGTCCAGGTCATGGTTGTTCTGGTAGATTAATAGTAGCAGCTGGTCTTGCTTGAGTTCCTTGAAGATGTTCCACCTCTCATCCAAGAGGCTTCATCAGCTCTGACTGACTAGTTGGGAGTTCCAGGAGCCATTAACACCTGAGTTTCAGTTTCAATTGGGGGGTTTGCTGCTCCGCAATGAAACATCTTCAAGGAACTCAAACAAGTCCAGCTGCTACGATTAATCCACGAGAATCTCTGTAGAGTTGATGTAGGAAAAACACGGTTTGTAGAGGTTGTAGAAATGTAAACAGTCAGTGTATAAGTAGCACTGAACACATCAAAAGTTTGACTTAATGGCGGAGCTAGATTGGGAGTTAATAGATTTTGCTCCTACTTGAGGGATGCAGCAGAACGATGTCCTTCATGGTGAAGTCTCTCGCCTGCACGGTTTCCAGCCGCTCAGCGATGGCGGTCAGCAGCAGCAGCACCCAGGCCACCGTCGGCCAGGCCTCCATCATCGGCCCCGAGAATCCTCATGCACCTGCCAAACACTGAGGGAACGAGGGGATCAACTTAGCAAAGATCCTCTGATCTGTAACCTCTCGTATCTGTATCATTGAACTACAGCGAACCTGGATACAAACAAGGCTTCGGGAGGTTATAACAGAAGGCTGCTGCTCCTGCTGTGAGCCCGCTGCATTAATTAAATGTCAAAGGAACCCTACGAATTCGCTCCCAGCTCCAGCCGCCTCCCCTGGATTTGAAAACCTGCATTATTAACACTGTCACTTCTAACGCGAACATGAGTAATGCTTTCATTACAATCCCTCCTTTATCCTCTGGGAATTCAGCCACCGGTCCCTGTTTGCCAAATGTTTTTTATTTCCCCGTCATGCGGTGGGTCATTTATTGATTAAGCAAGTGTAGCGTCTCTTATGCACGTCACAGCAGCAGGTTTGCAGGAGGAGGAAGCAGATATTTTACTTTAAATCAGCTTCCAGACTAAACTGATTCATCTGGTTCCTTCACAGATGACCTAAAACATCTGAAAAACATCCCAGCAGGTCAGGTAGAGCTGAGGAGGCCTCTTGGATGAGAGGTGGAACATCTTCAAGAACCAAAAAAGGAGCTGTTGAACCATTAGGCTAACAGTCTGAGGTAACAGATACGTTGAGGATGAAGAAAACCTCCGGAGAACATAATACTTCAAGACATTTCTGCCACTATGTCCATGTTTTTGCAGCAGGAAACACTTTGTTGTTCATTCCAGACTCCAAAGGAAAATTTGCCAAGTCAGAGACAAACACATGCTGCAGAAAACAAGTCTTCAACACGAGTGTCTCCAAGTCCTCCAGGCTGAACCTCATTTCAAATATCCAGCAGCTTCGTTCTTAAAATGGGGCAATGATTATATCGTAACGTTTCCTTTCAGCAAACATGCAAGTACTTCAGCCCAGAATGCAATTTAACATGTAAAAAAAACGCATTTTTTCTTATGGAGTCTGGTATGAATTTCAGCTGTTTTCCCCCATTATTATTATTAACCAGCTTCTTTTTTGTCCACATTTCTACGTAGAATTACTTCCTCAGTGACATCTAGACATCTTTCTCTTCCAGACTCTCTCTTCTTGGATCCACTCAGATGTCAATCAGTGAATTAACCACCAGATGACCTGGTTTCTCCTCCATGAGTCCAGATCAGCAGATCAGTGTGAGACCGGCTCTGAGTTCAGATGCCTCTGACACCGTTCTCTACGTTGTCCTCAGGCTGTGTGGCGGTAAATGCTTGTTTTCTTTACATTATGCACGCCCCAGTAAAATGCAGCCAGAGCGCACTAACACTGATGTTCTTGTTTCAGAAGCACAGATGTGTGCATTTAGAAGCAGAACAGAACAGGATGCGTCCAGGGACACGACACTATCAAAATAAAAGTTCTGAAATTCTACGAAAGGGTTAACAGAGATTCTAAACAATGCTGGCTTTTTCAAAATAAAATGCACTTGTGTATATTTATAGCAGGATTTGTTAACTGGCACATGGAATTTCTTCAGAGATTTTCTAATTATCACTGTCATTTATTTTGAAATTGGTAGAATAGCTGAAAAAAAGTTAAGAACTGAACCAAAACAAAAGAAATTGGTAAAATTCAGTTCAGTTGAAGCCAAGTATGGAGCCAGTTGGGCAACAACAAACAGGAAACCACCAGAAATTAAGTATTTACAGAAAGCCAGCATGGTTTTTATGGAAAACTGTTGGTTTCAAATCTAAATTTTCAGTGATTCCAGCGTCTCAACTGTAAATATTTCTTCTTTCTTTATTCTTTATGAAACCAAACTAAACGTCTTTTGGTTTCTTTGTTTATAACAGATCTTTTGAACATCATAAAAGGCTTCTGCCCCCATTTTGCACGCCAAACAATTCGTTTTTTGAGAAATTTAATTACCCTCGCTGCAGCCTTGAGTGTGTCCCTCTGAACTCGGCGCCTGAGGAACAATCTAAGTTAAGTGGACACTTATTAAAATCATCCAGACCTCCTCTGTGGAGCTCTGCGTCCTTTCAGCTGTGAGAAACTAATGACCACAACACAAAACCCCAACTTGTGACAATACGGCGACGCCGTTGGCCTCCGCGGCAAAACCTGAGTTGTGGAAACCAGTTTTAATTACGTGGTTGCGTGAGAGGCTTCAGAAGGATCCTCGTCCTGCATTCACGGAGCTCTTCAGAGCGCCCGGCTACTGTATGCTGCATAATGACATGCCGATGCTGAAAGGACGACTGGAGGCTGAGCCGCCTGATGGATGCCCGGCAGCGCCTGCAGCAGAGGCTGAGAGCAGGGCGGGGATTAGGCACAATGGCTCCCAGTTGCAGCTGGAGGGGGATGGAGATGTGGAGGCCTCCCAGCGCTCAGGGTTCAATCAGCACCGAGCCACTCCTTCGGGTTCCAGTTAGAAGGAGCTGAAGGAGCTGAAGGAGGGCGGCTTTCTTCAATCTATTAATTTATGTGTTGCAATATCAGCAGAAAGTTCATCGTATGACTGAACGAGATGCAAGAAGGTCAGATATTTTCACTGTGACGTGATAAACAGCTGAATTGGGAATTTTCTTTCTTCATTTCTTTTCACATCCATCCATCCACTATCTGAACACCGCTTCATCCTCACCGGGGTCGCAGGTCTTTTCAAATCTAAGCATGATATTATGATTGATGCTGCAGCCTTCAACCAACCAGCACGTTTATCTAAATGTAGAGAACATGATCTGTGGGCTGCCACATCTCTGTGTGCTTCATTTATATGAGTACTTTGTTGTTATGCATTTTGGCTGTTTGCTTTTTGCCTTATATATACAAAATAATAATATATGAAGAGGTCATTTGCAAAATCAGATAACTCCACCTTCGTAGATTTTCAGAAAACATATTTTCTTTTGTTGTTTGCTTGAGATAATATCAACCAAACTGAAGCTGAGTGGATGTGACTCAGTAGAAACGACAAAAATAGAGATAAGTTTGACTGATATTGTCTCAGGTAGACGATGGAGAAGTGGGTTTCCTGAAGGTTTGTGAAGACGGAGTTATCAGTTTTTGCAAATAAACTCTCCATATATGTATTTAAAAAATCTTACTTTGCTCTAGTTTGGTGCCGATGCAGCCGTATGAGCTGAAGTGCATCGTTGCAGTGCTTTAAACACGTCATAAGAAGTTGGGTTTTGTGCAGATAAACGACTTTGCATTTATTATTTATGACTAAAAAAACACATCATGACCCAAACCTTAGTAAATGTGTCTGGTTAAGGCTTCTATATCCAAAACTACAGAGCTGATTTTGAGACTTCCAAATACCAACATTATCACGATATTAACAGATTTTTTTTTCATTTTCCAGCGTTTTAACTGTTAAGTCAATGATTTTACAACTTCATGCCGTCATTATTACGCTTTTTGATGGTATTTCATGCTGTAATGTTCCATCACATGTTTCAAATATGGTGCTAAAATCAAGCAGAAGGTTAAAAAATTACAGTTAAATGGACGGAAAAATGCTGCTGGACTACTTCTGATATGACTACCAGTAAATATCTCTGGTTCTGTCCCTACTTTTATAGGTCAAACTGATCTGACCTGTTTATTTCACGGAGTTATTTGGTTTTAAATTGATGTCAGCGTTGCGTAAACAGGAATATTTGTGGAATGCGTTTATCAGACATCTTCCAGGTGCTCTTAATTCTAAAGGAAATCCGTTAAATGTGCAGGAACGTGTGATTCCAGGAGAATATGTGGAGCGCATGAGAGCAGCATTACTGATGGACCAGAAACAGTAAACGGGTTAAAAGGCCCCGAGGCCCCTGCAGTCGCTCTGATCTGTGGGTTCAGACTAGAAGGCATCACGGCTCTGCCTGGTCGAGTCGAGCTGCTCCCTCAGTGGACGGTAAATCAATGAAAAAATGATGAGGCTCTAGTGATCTAATGGATGTAAGAGAGAAGCTGTGGTGGAATAAAAACGTCTTTAGCTCCTGAGCTGGAGCCTAATTGCTCCACGCTGATCGCCCTGCGTGTCAGAAGAACACTGGATCAGCACCGGGACCACCGGCGTTGCTTTTGAAGCTCAGCCGCTCGCTTCTATCGACCAGACACATGGCAGCAGCTTAGCTCCTGTCATGCTGCTGCTTTTGTTCCTCCTTTCAGCGCTCAGGTCAGAGTTGGAGAAAATTACAGTAAACAGCTGAATTCTTGCGTCTCTGCTGCAGGATGTCGGCTGAAGTGTTCCCAGGATCCTCCGTGTGGGTTTCCTGACTCACTGCGTGACTGTCGCATGTTTACGAGGCCCTCGCTGAGCTGAGCGTCCCGTAAAATGTTGGACGTCTAAACAGTGTTGTTTAATAGAAAGGTCACAGCAGACCAGTGGCTCCTGATGCAGATGAGAAGGACTGCACAGACAAATCACATCCTTACCAGTACATGTAGCCTCTGCTTTGTTATGGACTTTATAAACTGCATCATACACTCTCAAAGGTTTAGGATCAACAAAAATATAAAACGCAGCCATCTTTTTGAGTTCAGACAATTTCTAATAAAATTATGTTCAATCAACTAAACGACCGTCGTGACTCAATAATCCGACACAAACCTTCTGTAAAACCTTCTTTATGTCAGATAGCAAGGCTGTCGGATTGTCAAGACGGAGGTCGAGATACAAGGAGGGCTTGATGCTGGAAGGTTCATTTGTTGTTAATATTTATTGCTTACAGTTGTTATAATAACTAGTGTATTGTTAGAACACTACCCATCACTGGATTTCACGCCTAACTGACTGGTGCGCTTGTGCACGTTCCGGACACTTCCACCCTGTTGGAGCGCTCCAACGGGGTGGAAGTGTCCGGAACACACAGGCAGTACTTGGCTGCTGATGCTAGTTTAGTTAGCGCTCACACTTCTGTTTCCGTTTCCCATCCATGTTTACTTCCGTAAACACTGAGCACGCTCGCTGCGTGTGACGTCGTCGTGTCCTCTTCTGCGCATGCGGGACACTTTTGGGTCGTATGAAGTTCACACAGCAGATCACATACAAGTCGCATTGAACTGGAAACGTGAAGGAAGTCACAAAGAAATCCTCATTGAGCATCAAGTCCTGCAGTGTGAACGTAGCCAATCTGTGGGATTGTTCAGTCAGATAATACGCCGTCATCCTGATTGGTGACATTAAACGTCATGTCGGAGTCGGAATCCAAGGCTGTCGGTATGTTAAGGCTGTTTTTATGGGTTCTGTTTGTTTTTCCTAAAAACCTGTCAGATAGCAGGTTAAGGATCGTTAAGGGTCAGATTATCGAGTCACGACTGTACGATGAAGTTGAGGAATTTAACAGTTATTTAGGTTTTAGTAGCAAGTTTTTAATCTTAAACTTTAAGGAGGAGAAAAAAGTTATGAAGCCAATTTAATTAATTTACTACAACTTGAATTTTGTTTTAAATCAATCAATGCAAAAATTTAAGTTGAATTTACTTGTATTATTTAGTTGATGCAATTACCTGCTTTGTTATGTCAACACAACTCATTAAAACACAACTTCAAAGGTTCATCTACATTAATAAACGTTCATCTTGCAACCATCCATTTAATTAAGAGGTGCTAACGATGCAGTTGGCTCAATTTAAAACTGTAATTCAAACGACCTTAATCTGAATAATTAGCTTTAAACGGCACAACGATACCTTCAGTGTGTAGTGTTGCGTGCAGTATCGCACAGCTGTGACACGCTAATCTGTCATAATGTCGCGCCCTCAGCGTTGACCGGCTCACTCATACATCATCGCAGCGTGTGGTGTGAAATGAGCTGTCACCTGTCTGGACGCCCTCGGCTCGTTTATACTCCAGAGACACCGCTGTGACGTACGTGATGCATCTTGTGCCGTGCAAAGGATTGTGGGTCGGAACAGCGTGACGACTCGCGTTCTGCAAAATGACACCAGATGTAGTCGAACGTCTTGGTGTTTTTGGCAAACCGCTTTTGATATATTATGTATTGGGACATACTAAAAAAAATGTTTTTGCCATTATCATTTTGCAGCTCGAGCACACCAGCTCACCTATAACCCCGCTCAGATATATATAAAAAGACTACACTGCACAATAGAAAGTTGTAATATAGGGGTAAAACTTGTTTAAAACAGAAGCTGATTCGAAAATATAATGATGCTAAATGCTGCCACCCAGCGACTGACAGGATTGGTTGTTTAGGTTTGTGACATATGAAATCCAGGAAGTCCAAATCTGTGTTTCTGAGATTGTCTTTTGTACGCTGTGGTTTCAAGGTGGAAATGGTCACCAGAACTTAAATTTCACCAGAAGATATCAGCTCAGAAGAACCTCATATTTAACAGTTCTTAAGTGGCCTGAAAAATAAAGACGATAAATCTTGACTTAAATTAACTTCAAATTAACAAAATTAACGTTAAGTTGTCGAGAAAAGATGAGTTGATTCCACTAAACTCCTACACGATGCTTTACAGTGTAAATGAACACATTTATGTTAAACATGAATCCACAGGAGCTCACTGTTGAATGAAGTAGAAAAATAAAAAGATTGTAAGTGCAGTACTTGAGTAAATATACTTAGTTACATTCTGTATGCTCAATTAAAACAGCTCTTCTACCGCAATCAACACAATCAGCGCACAGTGAAGTGCAGCTACAATCTGCAGGACTCCGTCAAAATCTCCGTTTGTCTTTAAACTGCTCTGATCTGATGAACCGAAAATTAAATCTCATAAACATGACAGACATCAGCAGCACCATCAGTGGGTTCCTTCAGTCGCTGATGGGACTTTTCTAAAAGCCAGAACACTGTTTTAAAGGTTCAACCCGCAGCCCGCACAGAAAACTCACCGGCGTCAGTCCGCGATGAACCCGCAGGAGCCTCGACCGGCCGCAGATGGGAGTCCGAAAGTAGCTGCTGCTGCTCCGCGAGCCCGGAGGAGGAGGAGGAGGAGGAGAGGGGAGGGAGGGGAGGTCCTGCTGCCGCGTCACCGCCGCGTCACCACCACAGAGCGTACGGTGAGTTTTTGTTTATGTTTTTTATTTGTTTTTTTAAAAACATGTTTTCATTTGAGAATGTTTTAGCTCAATTCAAACATGTTTCCAGTGTTCAAATAATAATAATGATAATGATAATGACAAAATAAAAAAAAAAAATAAATAAAAAGATCAAGTCACAATAACTGTCAAACGCTATTGAGTTAGTTAGAAATATATATTTATATGTATATTTTATTATATTGATTTCATATGTGTTACTTTTTAGTAAGGAATGCTTTTATAGCTTTTAGCAGGATTTGGTTTGAAGTATAAAAATATAACTGGTAAAGCCATTTTTTTTTCATTAACTCTTTTTTTTTCTTTTTTTTTTTAGTTCTTGAGAAGTATTTCCAATCATATATTCACATTATTTTACATTTATGTTTTTTTTATTTATATTTTGTATTTATTTTATTTAAGAATGCCCCCTTTAGCTCAGTTTTAGCTGAATTTACATGTGTTTCTAATGTTCTGACAGTCAGTGACTTTCAAAAACATTTTTTTCTTTGTTAGTTCTTTTCTAAATATTTTTTAAAAATATGCATTTACTTTATTTTAAATGTAATATTTAATTAGAAAAACGCAGCTTTTTACTGGCTTTTAACTGAATTAAAAAAAAGCTTCCCATTTTAAAAATATCTATTTTTTTAAAGCTATATAACCATCAATGTTGTTTTTGCCATTTACTAATTATTACTATTCATTTTATGTGAATTTACATGTTTGCAGTGTTTAATTTAAAAAAAATTTAAAAATAATCACAGTAAGTGTCAAATATTGTGTTTTATTTATTTAGTTGTTAAAATAATAAAAATATACTTATATATGCATTCATACCAATGCATATTGCATTTTATTATATTTAATCTTTATTTTTCAGAGTATATCAATAAGAAACAAAAACCTGAAATAGCCACAATAAAAGTCATTACTGTTTATTTGCTTTGAAAAATATCTATTTGTATCCTTTAATTTTTTAACTGTATTATTGTATTTCATATTTATGAATGCATATTTCTACAAGCATTTCATTTAATGTTTTATTGTTTCTAAATTAATTGTACATATTTTTTCACATTTTTCTGGTCATTATTTATATATAAATATATAGTTCTTTGTTTATATAGACTTTTTTTCAAGAATGCATCTTTTTACTGGCTTTAGCTGAACATGTATGTTTGTATTCAATAACAAAATACACCTTGAAGAGTCACAAGACGTTTTGTTAGTTTCACTAAACTGTCAGCGGCAAATATTAGACTTTATACTTGATTACATTCCTCTGAAAGACGTTACTCTCCAGATTTAAAACATAGCACTATTGTTTAAATTATAAAAGAGACAAAACTACAAAAGAGTTTCATCTCTTATGTCTCGTCGGTGCATCTATTTAGTTAAGATCAGTTTCTTGTCGATATGTTTCTGGATCAAACAGATTTCTTTCTCTCCACTACAGCCAGCGCTCACTTATCTGAACAGGACATACCTCGCTAACTGCTTGCTTCTTCACATTCCTCGAGTGAAAGACATGCTATGCTGCTAACTCATCAATGACAGGTTGCAGCCCTCTGACCCCGCCGGATACGTGATCTCTTGTCGGACAAGCGAGGGAGAAGATAGCCGCCCCTCGGGCCCTTGTCACACCGAGGAATTTAAGGAGCATATGCACACAGATGTGCGATAATATCTGGACAGATGGCCGGTCCAGCGTGGAAAAAGCTTTCAGCAGCACCTCACGAAATTGCACTCTGCTCAAATGACACAAAGTGACAGTAAAAGAGGCGGATGTTTAAAATCTTAGATCCCTTTGTGTGCGATAAATAAGCGGCTTGTTCTGCTTCATGTCGTGGGCCTCAGTGGAGACGTGCTGTGGGCCGTCGGCTAGATGTAGAGCTGATATTATTAGTGGATTCCTGCACGAGTTAACAGATAGAAAACTAACCAGAAACGACAACCAACAGTTGACTCTAGTTTATAAAATGTGAGAATTTGCTGTTTCTATAAAGAGAACATCTTGTTTTTCCGATATATCGGTATCGGTCCGATGAACAAATTTAGCTGACGTGAAAACTGATGATTGTCTAACATCAGCGCCTTTGTCTCTACGTTTGATACTGCTGCTATTTCACAGATTTTTTTTACTGAAATGGTCCTGGACTTAAATATGTTAAAATATGTTTAACTTTTGTTAGACTATGTGGTCTAATTTGGGTGTCTATTGAGTAGTTGTCACATTCTCACAGTGCCTACTTATACTCATTTTTAGTGTGAAAAAAAATTTTAACATCAACATCGGTAATATCGGTTATTGGCGATATCAGAAATCTTAATATCGGATATCGGTATCGGCCAGAAGTTTTAATATCGTGCATCACTAATGTGAATGTTTTCTGATATGTGTTGGTCTTGTATGCCAGCAGTTTGAGTGTCTTTGGGTTAGAGACACAATAAGATATTTGGAAACATCATGGGCTTTTGGGAACGCTTATTGTAGCTTTTTGTAGACAGAACAACTCATGATTAATTCAAACAATAATCGAAAAATTAATTGATGGTGAAAATAATTATGAGATTTAGCCCCTTTAACAGATCATTAATATTCATTACAGAGGACAAAACTTCTCTATCGCACCCTTAGAGTGTAAAATCCCCACGATAGTGTGTAATTTACAGTCTGTGGACTCTTCATCTTGTCCAGTGAACAGATTGAATGACCTATTGAGGGCAGCATCGTTCCTTCACTGCGTCCGATCCGCCGCAAATCTCACGAGAAGTGCCGGAAAGCTGCGTGCGCAACCGCCGCCATCTTTGAAACTCGGAGGAGGAGGAGGTGTGTGCAGGAGCCGCAGGTGTACGAGCGTTTATTAAGAAATTAGTTTAATTATAACATAAAGCAACCACCCCAAGCATGGCCAACCGAAATATGCAACAGACGAGCATGCTGAGTAGCAGTTCCCCACAGGCGGCGAGACGCGGCACCGACTCCCCGGCCGCGGAGCAGGCACCGGGCAACAAAGACAGTCCAGCCCCGCCGCCTCAGTCGTCCCCCGCGGCAGAGCCGGCTGAAGGAACCGGGGAAGGAAGCAGCGAAGGCCCGGCAGAAATGACTCTGGACATTACGAGCTTTCGGAAGCCCGGCGAGAAGACGTTTACCCAGCGGTCCCGGCTGTTTGTGGGCAGCCTCCCGGTGGACATCACGGAGGAGGAGTTCAAGAACATGTTCGCCAAATACGGGAACGTCAACGAGGTGTTTATCAACAGAGACCGGGGCTTCGGCTTCATCCGCCTGGTACGTGAATAAAGTTCTGCTTTTTGGCTTTAAAATGTGCCTTTGAAGGAAAGCATGTTGTTCAATTTAACTTCCAATGGGTTTCTAGTGCAAGAACAGACATCTTTTGGCTAAACAAGATACTCTGTGAGCTGTTAGCATTAGCCACTGTTAGCATCATTCATTTATTATGAACACTGCATTGAACCATAAAACACATTTATAGAATATGTTTACCAGGTTCTAGCACGTGTTGACAAATGCTGTGCAAAAGAGATGCTGATAAACTTTCATTCATATTTTACTTACAAGTTTAATGGCATCACACCAATTTACTACTTCAATTATTAGGGTCCGAGGACCCCTACTTGTTTTTTTTGTATTTCATTGTCTGTCTGGATTATTATTATTAGATTTATCTTCTAGTTTACTCTGTTATTGATGTACAGCACTGAGTTATATGAACTGTGTAAGGTCCTCTCTGGTCTATCCTCATCCCTTTTCTCTGTCCCTTGTCTTGCAGGAAACCCGGACGCTGGCAGAGATTGCCAAAGCTGAGCTCGATGGAACTATGCTGAACAATCGACCGATCAGGGTTCGCTTTTCTACCCATGGCGCTGCGCTCAAAGTTCGCAATCTGTTGCCTGCGGTGACAAATGAGCTGCTGGAACAGGTAGAGTGGACAAGAGCTCTAAAAGCCAGCTGTGGTACAATCCTAGAAGTTCAGAAACAACAGAATGTCTGATTTTCTGTCTCCGCTCATCCGTTCAGGCGTTCTCTCAGTTCGGCCCAGTGGAACGGGCCATCGTTGTGACGGATGACCGCGGTCGTCCCACCGGGAGAGGCATTGTGGAGTTTGCAAACAAAGTAGCTGCTCGTAAAGCCCTGGAGCGCTGCACTGAGGGAGCGCTGCTGCTGACCACGTAAGTGTGTGGGATGGAGTCGTTTGATGGGTTAACATGTGCAAAATGACATCTCAGTAACTACCTTTTAAACTGGATGTTCTAGCATTTTACCTTTAGCTCATATTAAAGGCATGATTCTCCTCAGGATGTCGTTTTTTAAAAATCTATTTGTCCTTCATCACACTGGGTTCTCCAGCACAGATGGAGGAATCTGCTGCTGTTCTCTGCTAATGTGCTGCCACATATAATTACATCAGACACTGCTTAGAAATTAAGCAAAACAAAATGACTCTGATCTCAGTCTGTTGCATTTAGACTTCATTTCAAGTCTTTTCTAAGATATCACTGACCTGTGATGTCTACGAATGTCAGCGGTGGTTTCAACAAGCTGTTTTCTCCTCAGCACACCTTGTCCAGCAATCGTGGAGCCTTCAGAGCAGTTTGATGATGAGGATGGGCTGTCTGAAAAACTGCTGCAGAAGACTCCTAAATACTACAAGTAAGTAAAGAGTTGATTTAGAGTCATGCAGAGGTTCATACACATCTTTGTGTTTGTTGATGCTGTTGGAGAATCACAAGGGGTTTTATAGCAGGTGTGCGTTACAGTAAAAAAAAGATTTTAAAAAGTTAAAAGGCTAAATTGAGAAACTCTCCCGACTCCTGAATAGGTGACACTTACGATGCTTCTGTGCTTTCTGAAGAACACCACCTATATACTTTCTCTTCAGGTGTTTGAATATTATATGCCGTCTGAACTGTAGACAATTTACAGACTACCTTTCATTTTGTGATAATCTGAATTACTGATTTTAACCCTGAACCAAGTCTTTTTGCTAAAACTGTGGTGCAGTCAAAAACTTCAGTGGACTGATTGCAGCATCCTCAATTTGTTCTTCGTTTCTTCTCAGGGAAAGGGAGCAGCCGCCACGTTTTGCTCAGCCGGGCACGTTTGAATTTGAATACTCGTCTCGCTGGAAAGCTCTCGATGAGATGGAGAAGCAGCAAAGAGAGCAGGTGGACAAGAACATTCGAGAGGCCAAAGAGAAACTGGAGGCTGAGCTGGAGTCGGCCAAACACGAACATCAGCTCATGTTGATGCGGCAAGGTAAGAGCTGTGTTCTCTGTTAGGCTGGGTTTGAATACTGCTACTGGCAATACTGCATGTTGCCTTTTCCTTTTATACATCAGTGGTGTGATTGTTTTGATGTGTTTAAATGTGTTTTATGGAGGTAACGACACACAAAAACCACGGTTCAGTATGTAGCTCAGCTTGGAGCTCAAAGATCAGGATGTTTTTGGTGCAGCAAAAACAAATATTAAACAGCTTCTTTTATTTTTATTTTTTTTATAATAATAAGGAACTCAAACTTACAAAATAAATCAAAGCAAATTTTGTCTCAGATTTTTTTTTTAATCCATTAAGCTGCAGCATTTAGAAAGTTAACTGTCTGTACTTTTATTCCTTCTTAATTACCCGCCTCTCTATCGGTCCTCCTGACTTGTGTCGTCTTCTTTCTTTCCACCAGATCTAATGAGACGTCAGGAGGAGCTGAGGAGGCTGGAGGAGCTTCGCAACCAGGAGCTGCAGAGACGAAAGCAGCTGGAGATGAGGTGTGTTTCCTTTCTTTGAGTAAACCTCTGGGACATAATCCCATCAGTATCTGTGAGGTTTAATTTACTTCAGCTCATTTTGTAGAGTTGTGTTTTTATTGTTGTATTGTTTGTGGCAGGTTTGTGTCATTTGTTTGTATAAATAAAAGCAATGTGCGATAACCACATGCAAGGCTTTGGGCTCTGCTTCATGTTTTTGTTTTTCAGGTTACACAAATCTATCAGTTGATTTGTGATATCTGACCTATTTGTGCCTTTATTCCTTCTGTAGACACGAGGAGGAGAGACGGAGGAGAGAGGAGGAGATGATGAGGCACAGAGAGCAGGAGGACCTGAGGCGTCAACCAGAAGGCTTCAAACCAAACTACCTGGAAAATGTGAGTAGAGATGGAGCACATCAACACACTGGTTCAGTTAGAGTTGTAGTCAAAGATATACAGCCTTCTGCAACTAAGAATTACATCAACCTGCCCAGAAAGCAGGGCACTGATGATACTTCTAATAAGAAATAAGAACTGTAATACGTACATACGTTAGCTGCGTCTTTGCAGGTTACAGCGTCTCCTCAGTTGTTGGTTTTGGCATTACAGCTGTTGCATTGCTTTATTTGTCTATATGAGGCTGATAGACCTTTTAATATCCATCTAGCTACATGTAAAGCTGCTGCTGCTGCTGCTGCTGTGAGTTAGTTTCTTGATGCATTTCTTGGGGATGTGTTTTCCCATCAACCTAATCTGCTCTCAACTCAATGCAGCCATTTCATAAATGAGCTGTTCGCTCTCCATAAAGCGCCGTACAAGTGCTTTAACTGTAACTGCAGCATGGGCCTGTTTGTAAAACAATTTATTTTTTAAGAAATTCCATTTACGAAAAGAGTTGTGTTATAGTTGAGAACTAAACACATGCATGACTAAACATCTTCTTGAATTGAATTTCCCTTCTGGGATAAATAAAGTATTTTTTCATTAACTATGGGAAGTACAGTCGTGACTCTATAATCTATTTTCCTGCTAACAGCCATCACCTTAAAAAACAAATCTGACTGACTGACAATTGACTGACTGAATGATTATTATTATTGTTGTGTAAAATATATGTTATATTGATTTTTTTAAAAACGTGAGCTTTGACATGATTGAATTTCCCTTCTGGGATAAATAAAGTATTTTTCATTCATTCATTTCATTTCATAATCTGACCCTTCACAATCCGACAGCCTTGCTATCCGACATAAAAGAAGGTTTTTCATTAAGTGTCGGATTATCGAGTCACGGCTGTGCCAGTATTAAGCAGGATCCTACACAGCGGTTTGAATTATGGGTTGTTTGTAGCCTTAATGTGTGTAAAACAAGCTGCACAAGTCTGGAACTGGTTTCCCTTTAACTGAAATACTTGTTCCTATAAGAACAATATTTGTGGATTTTTGAACCAGCGTTGTTCTGTAGTGTAAGTAACTTGGAAATTATGGGCATTAAATATTCTGGTGTGGCCTATGTTGGATCAGCAGGTGATTTATGCCGGTAGTTTTATCACATGTTCTTTAATGGACCCTGAAGGGAGAGAAAATCCCTGCTCACTTTTCCTCCTGTAGAAAGAATTAAATATCAGGAAGTTTCACGCTGGTCAGGGTTTAGTTTTTGGTGAATGTAAAGCCTGTTTTCATTTTTCATTTAAACATTAATTGAAATTTCTGTTGGAAGTTTTTAAAATTCCTCATAGTTGTGTCGTCAGTTTAAATCATTTCAGTAGAGACCGACTTTTCCTTCTTTTTGCTTATCTGTAGCAACTTTGCAGTATTTTGAGAAGTTGCTGTCGGTGCCGATACTGAACTAATCATAAGAACAACATTTAACCTGTTTCTACTTTAGTCGTCTTCTTTTCCTGTCAAACTCTTTCTACGCTGCTGACTTACCGACAAATTTACTGCCTCTTGTGGAGTATTTTCACACCACCGAATATCAGCACAGCAGCCTCACATATGATGCAGTAGTAACATTTACAGAACACTTGTATTAGTTTTTGTTGTATTGTTGAGGTGCTGCATAAAATATCTTATGTACAATTTACTAAGTTTTTAATGACTCACGGATCTTAATCAGTTCAGTAATCCTGCAAGTCAGCAGGATTGGTGTTTTCATGACACTTTTCTTGAGTCAACATACAAAGAATATCTGATGTCAGACGCTGCAGATCTTTTGCACTGGCAGCTGTGGCCGTGAGTTTTGATTAGACAACATGGTTTTGTGTATAATTTGTGGCTAATTGTGGTGTTTTCGACAGGAAAAGTTTATGAGTGGGAGTTTGATGTGTACTACATTCACAGTCTAGACAAACCTTTTTCTCTTTATTGTTTCAACACAAGACTGCAGACTTAAGACTCAACATAGAGCCAAGTGTCCATTCAGATTGTGACAAAAATGAAAAAAAAAAAAAATATATATATATATAATGGTCATGACTGGACTGTTTAAACTTTTATTGAGACACAAACTGGAACAGAAATGACTCGACAGCTTCATATATATATTTGCATGTGTGTTGATGATTTGTAACGGCCAAGATCAGTTCTGGCATCATGTTAAGGGCTCTGCAGCTGATCAGCTTTCAAATCGCATTTGTTGCACGATTTGCCGCATACATAAACATTATCCTGCAAAACATGACCACAACTCGCTTATTAAAAGCTAAAAAATAACATTTAAAACACTTTGCACGTCCACATGTCTTTGCATAATGTGTCCTTACTGAAGACCAGAACTTTAAAACATTCGTCAGTCAGCTTGGTGTGTCAGATTTTAACAGAACTTTGCATTTGAGTCGGCTGCAGAAGCTAACAACAGATTTACACAAACAGCAGCAACATTTAAAAATGTGTGAACTATAATCTTCATTTAAAAATGTATTCACTGTGCATTGATACGTGCTGCAAGTAATTTAATAAGCTTGTCTGCAACCAGTAATTTGACAGACAGTAGGAGGGTGGAAGACGTTTTAATGAAGCAACATGTATAGAAATTGAAGTGTTTCACAGTTGGCTATTCGCCGAGGATTTGTGCTCGAGCGGCGTTTTGTTCTGAAGGCTCTTCTTCGCTTCTTTCAGAGAGAACAGGAAATGAGAGTGGGTGAGCTGGGCCCTCGTGGAGCCATTAATATGGGAGGTACGGGCATGACTGTGTTAACACTGGTTCACATGACAACCAGAATCAATGATGTGCAGTTTGATTTGTGTTGCATCCCCACGGACTCATTCCCAACACTTGATAACATCTTTTTTTTTTTTTTTTTTTTAGAAAGTGTAGCTCACTTGTTTTTTTGTTATTATTATTATTATTATTTTAAATCCTTTTTGATGTAAAATGGAGTCACTTGGGATGCAATGTACATGAGTAGAAGATAATATTCCACATGACAACATCCAGTCTACTGATGGAATATCACGTGTACTGTGGGGTGTGTGTTTGTTGGGGTGGGGAGTTATAGAGTGAGAACTATGTGGTCCCTGAGCTCTCATCCTCAGCTGTATGCAGATCTGACAAATATTCTTTTTAAAAGTCGTTTTTCATGATTTAAATGTGATATAAGGATTGGTTTGACCGTTCCAGTCCGTGCTGACAGGTCACCTATTTAACAATCAGAGACAAGAAGTCGGACTGTTTGTCCTCTTCATTGGGAATAAAAATTGTGTGTTCAGTGTTTGTAATGTGCAGATCTGCTGAGAGCAAGATGAGAGGCCGGGGACTCATGTTTGGGTCTGTGATGCTCTCAATAGGACAGATTGTTAAAACTCTATGGTCACTCTTCACTGATCTCGGATTGCACATCACCTTTTTAAACAAATGTAATGCATCTTATTTCTATCGACTTCTGAGCAAAATCTGAAGGTTTGTGTCCTGGTTATTAAGTAAGAACAGTGTGTTGTTTCCAGTTTGATATTTGACTTGTGTGCCTCTTTCACCTTTACAGCTCTGGTTTAACTTGTGTCTGACTCTTTTATAAGAGCTTTCAGGTTAACTGCAGCAGGTTCATGCACTCGTTTTGCTGTTTATGCATCTATCATATTGTACCTAAATGAGGACGGTCTAGATGCTCTGCGTGTTTAAAAACAAAAATCATGAAAACGTTAATTGAATATTTGATTAGATGGTCTTCAAGGATAAGTTTGACATTTTGGGAAACGCACTCGTTTTCTTTTCTTGTTGAGTCGTACAAGAAGACTGATGTCACGCTGTTGTTGCTTTAGTAAATATGAAGCAAGACAAACAAAAAGCTGGTGTGATGGATGCTATACAGTGACAGTATAGCGTATGGTACAGCTTAGAGCCTCTCTGAAGCTCACTGTTCAACACGTTAAGGCTTGTTTAATTCACAAAGTGAAATGTAAGCCTTAGATTCGATAGATGGTTCTCCCACTGTTGCTTGTCTGGTGTATACACAGTATGTATACACTCAGCAGAACTTCTTGATTTAACACACAGGACCGCATTCGCTCTAAACTTGAAATGATGTATGAATATTATCTTTAGCACATCCTATTGTTTGTAGAGTCGTACGTGTGGCAGTAGTCTGTCATGGTGTTGCTGCTGCTTGTAAGAATTAAATGTTTTTGTCAGGTAGGCCTGTCGAAAATGTGTTTAACAAAACAGCCTTACAAATGAATAATGCTGACTATTAACCGTTGTTATGGATGAAACTTTACGTCCAAATTCACATGTTTTGTTGGGAGTTAATCTGCTCTGGAAGTCTTCACTGCAGCAAGGTGGAGCACACATCTAATGAGACTTTAAAACTTGGCTTTCCAACAGTAGTCGTGGCTTTTCTGTGTGATGAATCGCTTTGATTTCACATCAAATTCATAGTCATCACCTTAAGAAGGAAGATCAAACTTCTTTAAGTAGCATCTTTTCTGATTTCTTCACCCAGTCACACTCCTTCTGCTCCGTTTAAACACTAATGTTACGCAGCAACATATAAATAACATCAAAATAAACAGCAGAACCTGCAGTTTGTGATGATGGTAGTTGTTTCTCTGGGACAAAGTGTTGTCTGCATGTTCTCAAACATGGCTCTGACATTATGTCCCACTTTGTATACAAAATAAATGAGAAGTAATGGATTTCATTGCACCATTTTGTGAGTACAGTACATATATGAATAGTGTATTAAAACAGCTAAAGTAGAGATTAGTGCATTTTTAAAAAGCTTTCCTTCATACTTTCAGTCATACCTTTGCCCTGTAGCATCTAGTAAAACAAACGTACTCTTATAATAATAATGTTTGTTGAGGCACGTGTCTGTTTATCATATTATACCAGAAAGGTGTGCAGTAGGTGTTGTGTAGTTTGGGTTTCTGCTTCACATTTCTTCCTGCTTCCGCTCTGTCTCCTCTCTAATTAAGGTGATGTGCAATCCAAAGATTAATCAGTAGAAGGATGTGGATGTTGGCCTCAAAATTTTAGTCATCAATGTGAGAACCTGTTGTTCTGTCTTTCATCTGTCGTCTCTGTTTGTTTTGTCTGTAAAACCTCATCTGCTCTTTCTCCTGTAACATAGTGCAGGATCTGTTACTTATGTTGTATTAACGTTGGTTTTTGGTTGCGAACGTCATACGTATTCAAATTAGCTGACAGAGGGAAGTTTGATCACTGAAACTGCTCACCTCAAACTGCTGAGACATTGTAGACGTATTTAGATAAGTGGCGTACCTGATTCCTTTAATACGGTTTTAGTAAACGTCACATTTCAGGGATGCACATGTCTGCCTTTATATCTTAAAACCAATTCACATACATGAACTTCAGATATCTGGTGAGACTGACGACTGCTGGCTTAGCTTGATGCTAGCAGGTTTTATCAACCTTTAAAGGTTTTTGTTGTCCAGCATTCCTTTTAGCATTATACATATTTTAACCATACCGTTCTGTTTATGTTGCTATAATGCAGCAGAATTTTAAAACAGTCTAGCAGCGTACGTCCATGAACGGTGATGTTGGTCATTTTGTTGGTTTGAACCAAATGGAAACATCTCAGCAATTAAGTTTTTGTACAAACATTCACCTGGTGTGTCTTCATGACTGGATAACCTGACCATTTATTGACCCCATGCAGTTGACTGGATTATTATTACTTTCATTGTGGATCCGTCATGTCTTCCTGATCCGGTGCATCCCGAATCATTTCAGTTTTTGACTAAAAGCCAACGTTAACTTTTAAGCCAGTGAGAACAGCTCCAGCTACCAGCTGCCGTTGAGTGCACGTCCACTGAACTTGCCCAATGACCAGCCGATGCTCCGTTGTTTTGCGTGTAGATGGCTATAACCAGGCCTCTGCGGGGCCCAGTGCTAACCAGGGTCAAATGATGGGCATGAGTGGAAGGGGAGGAGCCATTGGCCCAGAGGGGACAGCAAATATGGGGACACCGTTGATGTCCGAGAACGGAGCCATGGTAATGTATCTGGAAAAATAAGTTCGATAAATATTAATCCAAACTAGTCAGAGCATGTTTTGGCTGAACTGAACCAAAGAGCCTAAAACTCTCTGAACCATTTGGCCTCTGAGACTTTTCTAAATGAAGAGCTTGTATTGACAGAAGGTCTAGAAGCTTTATTTTGAAGTAGAGGTAAATGCTATTTTGAAGAACCTGATGTTCAAACTGCAGCTTTCACTAACCGTCGTGTTCCTCTCTCTCTTTTTGTCTGCGTGGCTCACTTCTCTTCCGTTCACTCTTGGATGGTGAAACTTGGATCAAACTAAACTTCGTCTGATGAACCTCGAACACCCGACAATCCTCTGGACCTTCTCTTGTTGCTCTTCTGGATGAATCGGATTCACGACTGGCCCCCAAACATTTCTTCCCAATCTCATACCATTCATCACATCACAGCGGAATGATAGATACCTGCAGGGTGCGTCGATAGGGGGCAGACCGGAGGTTGAGTCCCCTAAACAACAACAACAACAGCAGCAGCAACAACAACAGCAACAGCAACAACAACAGCAGCAGCAACAGCAGCCGCCATTGGGTCCCCAAGTCGGAGCAGCTCCAGGATTCGGCCGGGGCAGTCCAGTAGGAGGCGTCTTTGATGGACCAAATAACAAGCGGCGGAGATACTAACTCATCACGGTTCTCTTGGATCTTTGTTTCTGCTCCAGACGGATCTTATTTTTGTTTTTTCTGTTTTCACATTGACTCGATCGTTGACCCGCTGCCGCTCCTGTGACTCGGACATGTCCGCTGAGAAACTTTGGTATATTTTTTTGTCTTTGGGGGGCGGGGAGGCGTTGATTTTGTGATGGATGAAGTTACGGGACAATGCTTTGTATCTCAACCTACCTGCAGTGTTTATACAGATCTTTTGCAGAACGTGTCTCTTCTCTGTGGTCTGAATGAAACCGTTTGTGATTTTTTTTTTGTGAGTGTGTGCTGAATATGGAGCGAGAAGTCCATGTCAAGGGAGTCCATGGGTGGGTGGACAGCGTTGCGGTGGCTGCTATGGTGTGGGATACACGTTATAAAGCTGCTCTGATGGAGTGTTCGCATTAAACGGTTACACAGACCAGATGTCACCATGCCAGGAGCTTGCTAGTTGGTGCTGAACTTCCGTGATTCTCAGAAGAACATTTGGCACCGAAAATCAAGTGAATGTATTTTGATGTAGTTATAAAAGAACAACAACCTATGCACATCCTGCCCTCGCACATCGGCATGCCTAACGCTTTGGTAGACTCCACGGTAGCGATGGGACGTGAGCAGGACCCAGCTGGTGTCATGAGCCGTCTTCATCTGAACAAGCCAACGTTTGCCTCTGTGACTGTCGTGTGTGTGCAAACAAATGCAAACTTCAATGCTTCACAGTATGAAAGTTTTACACTCCTTACTTTAGTTTCAGGTGCTTCCTCTTTGGAGATCATGTGACTCAAATGCAAAACATGTCCATCCACGACTCTTGTGAAACCCCTTCCTCTCAGTGTCTCGCACATGATTAAAAAAAAAAGTTCCTGAAAATAAATTTGATGTCCAGTCCAATGCTCATTAGATGTTCAGACTATTAGAGAGTGAATGCTTCTGCAGCTTCGGTGCATCCTGTATCTGATGGTCAAGACAAATAAAACATTTGTAGGAAGTCGTGTTTGTTTGTGATTTGAAAGGATTCTCAATAAAACTTACTGTAGGGCCGAACAGTTGTTATAAAAGCTGCACAATGAAACGATGAAGATGTGCACAGTTTTAGTTTTATTTAATTGAAGCAGATTGAAGCTTTCAGAGGTTGTGATTGGTGCTCATTGATCGATGACGGCGGTCCAGTCTCGTTATTAAAAAGCCATTTTGGAGCACATCTGTCAAAGGTTTTCTGTCGTCTTTGTGTGACGGTGACGCTTTTAATAGAGTCTCGTGTTAATGCTCCATCACGTGTTATAGGTCTACAACACAGTAAATATTAAACTGGAACTTGACTTTAAAAAGTATATACTACAGATCAAACTATATATCAACTACAAAGATCACAATTAGGTGTCTTCTGCCCGATCTTTCTCCTGCCTTTTAGGAAATACACCCTTTGAACTTGTTTAGAAGTTTGATGCGTCTTGTATAATCACATTTACTAAGAAATTAATTTGTTTTATAAGTTTAATCTGCACTGCCCAGAAAAAATATAAAATAAATGTCACGCTTTTTTTTTGTCTGAGCAGATGGATCAACATTAGCAGCTTAACAAAACTGTAATGAAAAAGCAACTGTTAGCATTTTAGGACACAAAAACATTCCCCCTATAAAAGTTTTAAACCAGTAGATGTCAGTAGATACTGAACACTCATCCTTCACTGGCAGGTCAAATAAGATCTAACGTTCTATGATATGTGTGAACAGACGTATTTAACTAAAAGTCACAAAATATGCTTCATTGAACTCATATTTTTAAGCCTCAGAGTTTTGACTGGTCAGAGAAACAATAACAGCATCGTAGTGTTTCCTTTCTTATATGGTGTGTGTGTGTGTGTGTGTGTGTGTTTTGCAGTTGTGTTCAGAATCAAGCGTTTGTGTTTCACCTTAAAACAATCTCTGGTTTTCACTGGGTCTTGAAAATGTGACCTCCTCGCCAGTTGCCACCGATGCTAAAGAATAGCTTTACGTCAGGTAAATGTATGTTTTCTTTCTTCACAAAGCGTTCCTGCTTATTTCTCAGTTCAGTCTGTTTTCTGTGAGCATGTGATGATATATTTGTGAAGACATTCAACAGGGGACGAACTTTATTAAGAAAGGTTCGAGGGCTGTTGTTGCCTTTCTGATGAAGACAAGTCGTGTGTTGATAAGCGTGTGTGTGTGACGTGATGAAGTTATCATTTGAGTTTCTGTGCAGCAAATATGAGTCTGTTTTAGACCAAAGACAGAGATATACTCCTCGCTTGTTAGGGTCTTATTTTAACTACTCCTCCTTCCAGTACGTCTGTCCTGTACTGGGATTTATTTGTGGCATCACAATATTAACACCAGCGGTTCGTAGCATGATCCAAAACTGAAGCATTTGCTGATAAATTAGTTTGTCTTTCCACAACACTTCCAATCTGGGAGAGTCTTCGGCTACAGTTGTGAACAACAGTTTCAGAATAACCGTCTAATACCCGTCTAAAACCTCCTTACGTCTATTTCTTCACCACTTTTCAATGTGTGTTTTTGGTCAAATGCGTCCAGGACCCAACCTTCTAGCTGATGACTTTAGGTTTGCCTTAAGAATGTGGAGGTAATTCTTCATTGTTCCATTTATTTTGTTTAAAGCACCAGTTCTACTGGCACCAGAACAGCCCCAGAGTATAATAATGCCACCGCCATGCTTTAGGGTAGGTTTGGTGTTCTTGGGGTAAAATCCTCAACTTCTCTCCTCCAAACCTACTTCTGGTCATTGTGGCCAAACAGCTAACTTTTTGTCCCGTCTGACCACAGAACTTCCCTCCTGAAGGTCTTTTCTTTGTCCGTGTGATTATCAGGTGAGCCTGAAGGTGCTTCTTCTAGAAGAACTTCCCTCTTGCATGGCAGCTCACGTTGATGTAAAACACACCTGCCAGCTGTGTTCCAGCAGCTTCTTCTGATTCTTGGTTGACTCTTGACCAGGTGTTTGTCAGCAGCAGGTGATAGTTTGTGTTTTCTTCTGTTGCAGTGCCACGAGCTTTATACTTACAAAGAATTGTTTGTACAGATGATTAGCGACGTGTAGCTTCTCTGAAATGGCTGCAGTTCAATCGATGACTTGCTTTTTCAGATAGTTGCTGAGCTCCTCTGTATGTTTGTGTCTAATGAGTGGATCAAATGTAAAATGGCTCAGAGAAATCAGCAGCTGTAGAGAATTTAAGAAGTGACGTCACAAGCTGCTGTGTGTCTGTTTGACCCATTTGACATATTCCCAGAAAACTTATAATAAATCTATGAAAGAACCAAAACACGTGATTGTATTTTGTGACAAAGGCGCTGTGTTGGAAGCTCAAGGCTGACACGATATACTTGGTCTTTACAAGTTTATGCCAACTTTTGTTCACGGCTGTAAGTTGTAGGTGTGAGGCAGCTGTGTTACCTGTCCAGGTGTGTGGCCTGTAACCAGAGCAGGGGAAGCTTTGGCTGTCGGCTTGTAGCTACAAACCACCTCTGCAGTGATGAGGAGGCAGCAGAGGCAGACAGACAGCATTGTATTGTTTTATGAACCGGGCCTTCTTGTGCTCGTCCGGGGCAGCAGACAGGATGCTCGACACTCGGATGACTGTTGCTCTGAAAGCTGAGCCTGTCCACACAGATCGGTGCTGTTGACAGAAACACAATCGCCTCCGCTGGCAGTCACTCCTCACACGCCAGTTTCTGTCGCACATGCTTTAAATTGTGCTTTACAGGTCAGTTATTTACCAGGTTGTATCCTCAGTGAGGCAGACCAAGAAGTTAGCAAAGCAAAATGACTGGACCTAAAAATCTGTTGGAGTCTGCCAGCCTGTCTGGTCGCCCAACGCTTCATGATAAGTTATAGATTCTCCAGTTTGTTAGACTGTGCATGCTGTTTGCAGGCTCTATCCGTTGTCATGTGTGGGTTTTTATTTGGTACATTTTTACAAGACGAAGGAGTCGATTAGGAGAATTTAACCCTAAGTGTTAAAATGCAGATCAAAGCAGGCGTTTATTGATGTTCACTCTGATTTTATTGTTAGAAAATCATCCATAATTGCTTCACGGGTTCCTAGAAATGACGCAGCCCGTGTTCAGTTGCTTTAAATCCCAAATCAGGAGGTGAAAACAGTGTCAGGATTCAGTTGAGATGGGGTTAAATAGCTGACTGGTGGTAGTGAGCAGATACAGTTTTATTTCTTTTTACTGTGCAGCTTAAATAGTGTGAAAAATGCATTTTATTTAGTTTTACATTTGGCATAAATTCTCCACAACCAACACAAAATGCGACGTAGTTTGATAATTAAATGTTGTATGTTCAGAATATTTGTTTTAAATGTTCCTTTTTCTTTTCTCTTGCAGGTCTCGTTTGTGCTCAGCCTCCAGTGATGCATTCAAGGAACAGGTAAATCCCAGCACACGCCGTCTGTACATGTAGGAAATAAACAATATGTTTAGACGTGGCTGTGAACATGAGACACAGAACAAGGCTGGTGGTGTGTGAGGATGAAATCATTGATTCAACAGTAAACAAGCATTTAGATGCAGGTTCAGTGACGTCAACATTTTTAACCCTGGTGTTGTTTTCCATGGAGCGTGCAGTAGCTGTCAGAGCTCCTACACACTAGTATGGAATTAGATTTTAGTGATTTCCAGACCTTCTTGAGTGTAGAAACTCACAGAAGAAGAGTTTTTAATTTTCCAGCCAGCGCAATTAAAACAGTTACCGCTGTGAACACACAGACACAACTCCAACCGAATTAACTTATGACTGAAAGTGGACATCCATTAATTCAAAAGAAAATGCAGCAATACCCCTGAGTTCAGGCCTGTTTGTTCCACAAGAGAAAACCAAAGTTAAAGGCAGCGTTTATTGTCATTTCCATGCTCACAATCAACAAACTTTGCTGCACAAAAACTACAATATTTAGCTTCTTTCAACTCTTTCTAAGTCTTATTCATATGAGATATTAACAAATGTAGGCGCAACAATAATATATTACTATTATTAATATTTGTTTAATATGTGAAGGGAAAAAGTAATCTAAGTACAGTTATCACTGGTCGTCTTTGGGCAGAGCAGCTTAAATAAAACACGTTGGGGTTGAGTTAATGGATCAGTACAAGCTACAAGACTTGGCACCATAAAAGCGTATGTAAGACAGTTTATTCTACGTCAAAACATGGACCTGTTGATCTTCAGATCTGAACAATCTGCTGACCAGTCTGGAGATTTAAATGTTGAAGTGAAAAAGGTGTGAAACGCTGTGCATGAAGGTGGGTCCTCTGCCAGAACCAGGTCATACTTTGTTTACTTAAAGCGATAAAAATGTTCAGAAGAGAAGATCAGATAGAGATTAGGATGAAAAAAACATCTTTCAGGACTTGGGTTTCTACGATGACAGAATGCTGTTAAAGAAAAGACAGTCAGGGAGTTTTTCCTCATCAGTCTGGTACCAGTTCAGAAAACGAAATTCTCAGTTTTCACAGTTTTTAATGTTTATTTGTCAGAAATACTTTTTGTTTCTGGAAAAGGGTGAATTCAACTTTAGGATTAGACTTCCATGTGCAGCTTGTCTCTCTGATAAATGTCTGATTCCACAGGTGTGTTTTTAAATAAAGATGATTTGAAAACCCGCAGTGCAGTTAATGTCTGATTCAGTAGCTTTATTTGTTATTATTTTAAATGACATCACGTTGAAGTTTCATGAGTTGCAGTCGTGATTAGAGGGACTGAATCTTAGTTTCATACATTTTGTTTTCTCATTACTGTGCAATGGAGGTTCTGTCCCGGTGAGGACACCTGGGATCTTTCTACGTGGAGTCTCCATGTTCTCCCCGTGCAGCGTGGGTTCTCTCCGGGTTCTCCGGCTTCCTCCCACAGTCCAGAAACATGCTGAGGTTAATTGGTGATTGTAAATTGTCCGTAGGTGTGAATGTGAGTGTGCTTGGTTGTCTGTCTCTAAGTGTAGCCCTGTAATAGACTGGTTACCTGTCCAGGTGAACCTGCCTTCACCCTGAGTCAGCTGGGATAGACTCCAGCCCCCCTAGTGAGGATTAAGGTGTAGAGATGATGGATGGATTCCTGTGCAATGGCTTTTGTAGTGTTTTATTGTTGATGTTTTGCAGGGAGGATTTCTTGGGGCCTTAAATATTGTACAGAAGTTTCTACAGTTACATTTACTCTCCAGAGAACGCCTCACG